CAGAAACTCAGCAAGCAGTAAAATATTAACACGACCAACGCTGACCCTTTAAATTTCTATTTGCTTAGCAAGCTGTTCCTAACCGAAGGTCTCTTGCCTCGGCTCCTGCAAGCCACCTCCCATCCCGCCGGGACCGCTTCCATGGGCGGAAAGCGGCTTCCCAGCTCCTACACGGCTGATGAAGCAGCTTCAGGCGGCGGGAGCCCGCGGCCCCGGTGACACCCCAGCTAGGGCACAAGGGCACCTCAAGCGCGGCCACGGGACCCTGCACGGCAGCTGCGGGACAGCAGAGCAGGCTGGAGGGCTGCGGAAATGGAGTTCTTGCCAAGGGAATTACACCCCGCCAGACCGGGAAGGTTCCATCCAGCCTGGATTTCACTTTCTTCCCCTGCCGCTCTAGGCTGGCACTTCCCCCCACCCATTTTTCCGATTGTTCGGAACACAATGGAAAGCCAGCAAACACATCCATCATGCACGGCGCGATTAGAAAGGAAAATGTTATTACCTGGAATAGTCGCCTTTAGCTTCCTAGAATTGAAAAAAAAACAGCGACAGAGTTAGACCAGGCTCCCTTTAAAAGTCCCAGAGCTTTCCCAGCATTGTTCACCGCTCCCTCCCACTGCTCCTTGGCCAGATCCCGACTCCGGCCACCCCCCTGCGCGTTCAGGACGGATCCTGGCCCTTGGTGCTTCCAGCTGTAGATTATCCCCCTGCAGCACATTTAAGCCAACGTCCACAGTGGGGACCTATTCCTCATTCCAATGCAATATCACTTTTGCTGCAGGAGAAGGGAACTACCAGGCTCTCCCCAGGCAGCAAATGCAGCGAAACGTTGGCTTTATGAGCAGCAGCGGAGGGGAGCCGGGCTCGCTCCGGATGCAAACGGTCTGGACACGAAACCACCGCAGCTTTGCCGGAGCCTTTGCTCTGCTTAGGAGTGGTGGGGGGTAGACAACAGCACCGTGTATAAGGTCCGGTTCTATTTCATAGCAAGTAGCAATAACTAGGGCTTACGTCTAACAACAACAACAACAAGGGATTAACGAGAAGAAAAATTAACATAATCTATTTTACTGTATCAGAGGAATAAAAACACAGGCTCTGAAAGAAAATCTTCCTGGGGATAATACAGTAAATTTTAGCTACAGTACTATACTCTTTTCTTTCTCTCAAATCTTGAGAATATATTTAAATTAGAAAATTAAGTGACAATTTGCAGAGAAATCTCCTGAAATCAATTACTGCCCTTGAGGAGTCAGTCTCCTCCTTTCCCTCCTTCAAATCCAAATTGCTCAAACATAAATTTCTCTTGCAAGTCAAGAACAAGAGCTCCCAACATATAGTTTTTTTCTTTTTATTAAGCCTGCAGAAGCTATAGATAAGGGGTTACCTTAGCAGAGGGGGGAAAAAGAGTACCCCCAAGCCCGGCTAAAGCAGCCAGCAAGCGCAGCCGCTGCCACGCGCCCAGGCTGAAGGGCAGACGCTAGCTGCTCTCGCCCGG